CTTTGTCATGGACTATGGCTGTAACATTTGTAGTTAGAGGTGTAACAGCAAAACTAGCATGAGTTTCTTTTTCCTTCTTCACAATTTCACAGATAGATTTTTTTCTTACTGTAAATCTTAGCAAGCTTAGCATATGATTCTTTTTTTCTTAAATTGAAAGCTTTTACCCTTTCACTTAAAGGCAGCACTTTATGGCTTCTCTTTGGCATATCCAAATTGCTGTCATCACTACTTGTATTAGTCCATTTTCACACTGCTGATAAAGACATAACTGAGACTGGGAAATTTGCCAAGAAAGAGGTTTATTGGACTTACAGTTTCACGTGACTGGGGAGATCTCACAATCATGGTGGAAGGCAAGAAGGAGCAAGTCACATCTTACATGGGTAGCGGCTGGCAAAGAGAGAGATTGTACAGGGAAACTCCTGTTTTGAAAACCATCAGATCTTGTGAGACTCATTCACTGTCACAAGAACACTGCCGGAAAGATGCACCCCCGTACTTCAATCATCTCCCACCAGGTTCCTCCCACGACATGTGGAAATTGTGGGAGTTACAATTCAAGATGAGATTTGGTTGGGGACACAGCCAAACCATATCACTACTGTTGTGCTTTGGGGCCATTATTAAGTAAAACAAGTGTTATTTGAACACAAGTACTGCAGTACCACCACAGTCGATCTGATAACTGATAGCTACTAAGTGACTAAGGGGCAGGTGGAGTATACAGCATGAATGCGCTGGACAAAGGGGAGGATCTGCATCCCACCAGGGATGGAGCAGGATGATGCAAGATTTCATCACACTACTCAGAAAGGCGTGCAATTTAAAGCTTGTAAATTATTTCAGGAATTTTCCATTTAATATTTTCAGGCTATGGCTGACTGAGTAACAAACCCAGGAAAGTGAAACCATGGAACCATGGATGGGAGAGAGGGTGAACTACTGTATATTCGTGAGGGATGTTAGTCCATAGTTTCTTTTTTTCCTTTTAACAAATTTTTGGGTTTTGTATATAGTTTGTCTGGTTTTGGTATCAGGGTAATACTAGCTTCATAAAATGAATTGGAAAGTTTTTCTTCTGTTTTCTTGAAAAGATTATATGCAATTAGCATTAGTTCTTTAAACACTTGGTAGAAATCTTAAGTAAAACTATCTGGGCTTGGAGATTTTTTTGTATGTGTTATAACATTACATATTCGGTTTCCTTAATATTTATGGGATCATTTTAATTATCTGTGTTTTTCAGTGAAATTGGTCCATTTTCTATATGTTGTCAAATTAATATTTGTAGAATTGTATTAGTATTCTTCATTATCCTCTTGATGTCTGCAAAATCTGTAATGGTATCCCTGTTTTAATTCTGTTATTAATTTGTGCTATTATGTCTTTTTTTTCTTTATTGGTCTTGTCAGAAGTTTGTCAATTTTATCAATTTGTTCCAAGAACCAGCTCATTGATTTGGTTTCAGTTTCATTGATTTCTACTTTTATCTTTATTATTTCCTTCTTTTTCTTGCTTTTGGTATATTTTGTACTTCTTTTTCTAGGTTCTAGAGGTAGAAACATAGATTATTGATTTGAGACCTTTCCTCTTTTCTAATGTGAGCATTTTAGTTACATTTAGTTCCCTCCTAGGACTGCTTTAGTTTGGTTATTGAGAGGTGTTGAAGTCTCCAACAATATTTGTGGATTTATTTATTTTTCATCAAGTACTTGATTAAATACTTTAGAGCCTTTTATCTTTGTAAACCCGGTCAAAATGGGCAGATCAATCAACACAGAAGAGAAGTTATCACTTACCCAGGAGACCAGATTCCTGTAATTCTCTAGCATCACATCCTTGTGCAGGTTCCTCTGTGTAGGGTCCATCAATCTCCACTCCTCCAAGGTGAAGTCTATAGCCACATCCTTAAATGTCACTGATTCCTAAAACAATTACATTGCGATCATTTAGAACTATACAATTAGACTTGCTAGGCAGAATTATACACATAGCCAAACTGGGAAGAGCCCCGAAACCAGAATCACCAAATGATTATGGGTCAACCCAGTTCATCCCTTATAGGATGTATAAATCTCTCCAGTGACAAGAACTTGAAGCCATAATATGCTGCCTATATAATCTTCAGAGTTTCATCTGATAGCAGAATTTCTTTTCAGACCAAGTCTGGCTTCCTATAAATTATAAATATTGGCTCCACTATATTATCTGGAGTCAAACAGCATAATTTCCTCTTCCCTAGGAAGTATTTAAAATATCTGAAAACAAGCGAGCAGTTTCTACCCAAATCATCTTTCTTCCTTAAAACCCTGGCTTATATAAAATATCAATTTTCTTTCAGTTCTAATCTATAGACTATGACTTACTAAAAGATATATTTTATCATTTGTATTTATGATGTAGAATACTATAAGCTTTCTCTTTGAAAAGAAAAATAAAAAATCAAGGAACTTTAGGGAAGTTCTTTGGTCAGGATATGTGTACACATATTAAAATGGAAGACTAGGCCATAAACACATTTTTTTAGTAGTTTACCTACTGGAGAAAGAGGGAGTAGAGAGGACTGGAATGAAGGCTAGACTCATTTGGCTATTTGTTTTGTAGATTGGACTTTTGGACCATTTAAATTCTTTATATTATAAATGAAATAAAATTTAAAAAAAATCCTTAAAAATTAAGAGTAACATGAAACTAGGTGGTAGCATACTCATTCATTAGAGAGGAACTATTTTGAGTGATTTTAATAGATACCTTATATACCTCACAAGATACACCTGAGAAAAATAACTGCCAAAATAACAACAAAACCAAAATGTTCAGTAAATAATCATAGTAATTATAGTAAACAGACATGCTATTATGTAACTGTTTTGTGTGTAGTGTGCTGGATAAAGCAAATCAGCATACTGATGCCATTGAGAACTAATACATTTGGCATGGGAGAAAGAAGACGAAATGTCACTATTGATAGCTTAGGTTAAAAACTCCATAGTTTGGAGATTTGAATGGATATCACTAGAGATTCATAGAAGCATTTAAGGAAAAAATATTTCCCTAGCTTCCCAGCCTGTAAAAGCCCAAACCATAACTAATAAGATGGCATTATGCAAACCAGACTGTAGGCTCTAAATATTACTTCCGCCTAAAAGGAACCAGGGCCTAGAACACCCTGACACATCAAAAAGCAAGGAAGGTATCAAAGACTACTAAGATCATATATAAGACACAGGAAACACTTGAAGAGGCTTCCACTGCATGAATGATGTGACAATTTGCGCATCAATAAGGATAATAATTGCAATGGATTTCAAAAATATCTAATACAGTTATATTCATGATACATTATTTTAAAAATCTCATCTATCATTTTTGGAGAATACCTGGAAACTGGTAAGTAAAGAGAAAGAATCAAACTTTCATCCTTTCTTACCTATACAAAATATACATAGTTTGTATTATAATCAAACATAATTAAGTAGTTGATGAGGGAAGGCTTCTCTTTGTAAAGTACTCTAGCTAATAAATGAAAAGAAGGAACAAAAGAATTAGAACATCACAATTTGCAACTTCTTTTTTTTTTTTTTTTGAGATGGAGTCTGGCTCTGTCACCCAGGCTGGAGTGCAGTGGCCGGATCTCAGCTCACTGCAAGCTCCGCCTCCCGGGTTCACGCCATTCTCTGCCTCAGCCTCCCGAGTAGCTGGGACTACAGGCGCCCGCCACCTCGCCCGGCTAGTTTTTTTGTGTTTTTAGTAGAGAGCGGAAGGTTTCGCCGTGTTCGCCAGGATGGTCTCGATCTCCTGACCTCGTGGTCCGCCCGTCTCGGCCTCCCAAGTTGGGGATTACAGGCAGGCCACGCGCCCGGCCCACAATTTGCAGCTTCTAATGAATTAAGAACCATCAGCTGCTAACATAAAAGAAAGGCCTCCAGTTTGATGGTGTACGTCTTTACGAGTGGTATATACCAGCAATATGAAATGACATTGCTTAAAATATTTTAAAAAATCAAAATCTCAGCCGGGTGCAGTAACTCATGTCTGTAATCCCGGCACTTTGTGAGAGCCAAGACAGGACGGTCATTTGAGCCCAGGAGTTCAAGACCAGTCTAGGCAACATAGGAAGACCCCATCTCTACAAAAAATAAAATAGAATAAATTAGCTGGACATGAGTAGTGTTCATGCCTGTAGTCCCGATATAGGAGGCTTATATGGGAGGAGCTCTTGAGCCCAGGAGGTCAACAAAAAGAGACGTTTAAAAAAAAAAATAAACAAAAAACATCAAACTCTGAATCTGATCAAGGATCTAACTAACAATTTAAAAGCAATACAGATAGGGAGGGCATATTAAATAATTCCACTTAGGGGCACATTGTTGGGTTATGCTATTCCTCACTTTTAACTACATGATCTGCCCATTGTAGAGTAAGAAACATACTTCTCTGGAATCTTGGAGATTGTTGACAACCCCACAGATTTTGGACCGAAGTATTTTCTAGTCACTTCCTTAAATGGAAGTTATCAGTACCTCTAGAAGAAAGAAACAAATGTATTCAATTTCTTTCTAAACTCACTAGATTATTCCCATAATCTGTTATCCCACCAAACCAGAATCATAGTGTTGAGCTCCTTTGGGATGTCTTTCTAATTGTCTAAAACATCACTATATAATATGGCAGGTACTAGTCACTTGTGCCTATTTTTTTTTTTTTTTTTTTTTTTTTGTGAGACGGAGTCTCGCTCAGTTGCCCAGGCTGGAGTACATTGGCGTGATCTCGGCTTACTGCAAGCTCTGCCACCCGGGTTCACGCCATTCTCCTGCCTCAGCCTCCCAAGTAGCTGGGACTACAGGCGCCCGCCGCCACGCCTGGCTAATTTTTTGCATTTTTAGTAGAGATGGGATTTCACCGTGTTAGCCAGGATGGTCTTGATCTCCTGACCTCGTGATCCGCCCGCCTCGGCCTCCCAAAGTGCTGGGATTGCAGGCATGACCCACCGCACCTGGCCTCACTTGTGCCTTTTGAGCACTTGAAATTTGGCTAGTCCATCTGAAGAACTGAATTTTAGATTTTACTTAATTTTATTTAATTTAAATTCAAATTTAAATAGCCATATGTGACAACTGGCAACTGTATTGGACAGTGCGGCTCCAGAACCTCCTGTAATGGTCATTCTGCATGGAAGATTAAGAACTGAGACTGAATTTGGCAGGAGTTCTTGCTCATGGCTCCAATCAAATCCTGTTTATTTTTCTCTGGACAGGGCTTGCAGTTTCCAAACCGGACATGATATCTCATTTGGAGAATGGGAAAGGACCATGGGTGACAATGAGAGAAATTTCAAGCATTCCCTATCCTGGTGAGTTAAACAGAACCAAGAAGATGGGATTTATTTGAAGTAACAGACTATAGGGGGATGTTCAACACAACATCTGAAAAAATTTTAAAGATATATTTGTTCAAAGCTGTCTCAGAGGAAGAGATCCCCCATCTCGCTGCCTGTCTCTCTCACCCCCATCTTCTCTTATCCTCTCTCTCTGTCCTCCACTTTTGGGAACCATCTCATCCTATTGTGCTTTCCTGGGGACATGCTTTTCATAATTATTATTTTGTTCTTCATTCAAACATACACAAAATATCCCTTTCAGGTCTATCTTCTCCAGTTAACTTTATGTTTCTCATTTGTTTCACCATTATCTGACATTTCTTCCTTCATTTACCTGAAAATGCTTTCATAAGGGTCCCCACTGATTTCTCTTAAGGCAAACTTATTTACTCATTATTTAGTTTTCTTCACCTGCAAGGCTGCAGAAACTTTGGAGGAACCCACCACCTGTCCTCCAGTACCTCCAATACTATACAATCAAAATATAGTATTGATGTATTTAATCAATATTATACATCTATATGCTGTGAACTGGCTTAGGTACAAGGGCTACAGCACCTAATAAAATGGACCAGGTCCCTGCCTTCATGAAGATTAAATTTTGAGAAACAGAAATTTGGCAAATAAATAAAAACAAACTAAATGGTGGTTGCCATACCTCCCAGCTATGAGATAAATTGGAGGATAGGAAAGAGTAACTGGGGTGGGATGAGGACACCTTCAAACAGGGTGGTCAGGGGAGCTTCTGAAGAGGTGACATTTGAGCTGAGACCTGAAGGGTCAGAAGAAGAAGCCAGGGAGGGGAAGAGGAAAAGGGAAGTATTCCAGGCTAAGGGAACAACAATGCAAAGGATCTGATACAGCAAAGAAGGCCATGTATTCTGGAAATCAAAAGGAAGCTGCTGTGACTAAAGTGAGCAAACTGGTACAGAATAAGATTAGAGATGTAGGAGCCTGCCTGTGCAGGGCTTTGTAGATGATCTAAGTGAGTTCCAAAGCATGGAGAGATTTTACTGCAGGGTTTTTAGAAAATAACCCTGTTTATAGAGATTAAACTTGAGGCATAAAGCAGGCAGTAAGTTAAAAGGTTGTTACAATAGTCTATCCAGGAGATGAGAGGAACTTTGATTAGGGTGGTGGTAGTGGAGATGGAAAGAAATAAATAGATTCTGATTCATTTTATTATGATGCCATGAACAACCCACACATGCATTACATATTTTTATATATCAGATATTATTTATGCTTAAAAGATTGAGTGAAAAGTAGACATTAGAGATAGTTTTAAATAACTTTTTAGAGAGGGACTTTTTTTTCCCCTGTGAAGAGGGAAAGAGAAATGGAGCAGTGGCTAAAGGAAAGAATGGAGTCAAGAAAAAACACTTGTTTTATTTTTGAGATGGGAGCTGCTATGACATGTTTGAGTGCTGATAGGATCGCCTTAATGGAGAGAGCGACATTGATGTTGCAAGACAAAGATGAAGGACTAAAGTGTTTGACAGGGTTAAAGGAGATAAAATCTAGAATGGAAAGGGGGATTTACCTTTAATAGGTGGAGAGGTCACCTCCTGTGTTGTAATACTGAGAAAGGTGGAGAAGATGGGTGCACCTGCAGGTCAGTTGAGGGCAGGAAGATTGAGGCCACTATTATGATAGCTGCCATATTTTCTAAAATGTGAGGCAAGATCATCAGCTTATGGTGAGGGAAGAAAAAGTTGTGAGAGAGGGAAAGTTATTTTTTATGGTAGTGGAATTCAGGAGGGAAGCCATCTTGGCCTGAAGCTTTTATTGGGAAAAGTGTTTAATTATAGCTTGTGTACCTTCAGTACTTAGGACTTTTCATATTTCCTATTTTTGTTTTAGTTTAGCAAATTATGTTTAGGGATTGTTCTGTTTAATTTTTAAATTTATTGGCATACTATCCTCTGCTTATCATTTAAATGTTTATACGGATCTGAAGTGATGTGCCACTTCTTATTCCTGATACTGGTTTTTTGTGTTTTCTTTATTTTATCTTACTCAGTCTTGCTAGAGTTTATCAATCTTACTTGACTTTTTTTTTTTCTTTGAGACAGGGTCTCATTCTGTCACCCAGGCTGGAATGCAGTGGCATGATCATAGCTCACTGCAGCCTCGAACCTCTGGGCTCAAGTGATCCTCCTGCCTCATCCTCCTACATAGCTGGGATTAGAGGCACACACCACCACCTAAGATTTTTATGTTTTGTAGAGGGGTCTCACTATGTTGACCAAGATGTTCTTGAACTCCTGGGCTCAAGCTATCCTCCCACCCTGGCCTCCCAAATTGCTGGGATTTCAGATGTGAGCCACCATGCATGACATTACTTGGCTTTTAAAAACATTACTGTTTTTAGTCCTTTTTGTTTGAGTTTTATTACTTTCTGTTCTTTATTATTTTATTACATTCTTAGAGCTTAATTTGTGGATCTTTTCTAACCTCTTGAATTAGATAACTTATATCATTGATTTTCAGCTGTTCTTTTCTAATTGTTTAGGGCTCTCAGAACTGTATCACACTTTTTTATGTAGCATCTTCATAATTTTTGAGTGGAAAATATTTCATATTTCTATTGTGATATCTTTTATCCTTCAGTTATTTTTAAATGTTTTTCTTAATTTTGTGCCATTTGGGAATTTTCTAGCAATCTTATTAACTTTAATTCTATTATGGTCAGACAAGATGCTCTGAATTATGTCAGTCTTTGCAGAATTTTGTAAGTATTTTGTGCTCTTGAAAAAAATGTATAGCCTCTACGTATTAAGTACAATTTCTAGATGTGTCAGGAGATTAAGTTTGTTAATTACGTTGTTAAAATCTGTGTACTTACAGCTTATTCTATCAGTTGAGAAAGATTTTTTAAAGTCTGCTAGTGAGACTATACATTTGTTTCCTATTTAGTTCATTTAATTTTTTTATTTCTGTATTTGAAGCTATGTTATTATGTAAATACAAAGTTATAATTGTTACCTTTTTGGTAAATTGGCTTTTGTCATTATGAAGTATCTCATTTCTTAATGGTTTTTGCCTTAAAGTCAGTTTTGTCTGATGTTAATATCACTACAGCATCTTTCTTTTGGTTGTTGTTTGTATGGTATATCTTTTTTCATCTGCTCACTTTCACCTTCTGTGTATTCTTGTACTTTTTGTCTTTATTTTATAAGTAGTATGTTGTTAATTTTTTTTTTTTTTTTTTTTTTTTTTTTTTTTTTTTTTTGCCCCGGCTGGAGTGCAATGGCGCAATCTTGGCTCACCGCAAACTCTGCCTCCTGGGTTCAAGCGATTCTCCTGCCTCAGCCTCCCAAGTAGCTGGGATTACAGGCATCTGCCACCATGTCCAGCTAATTTTTGTATTTTTAGTCGAGATGGGGTTTTACCATGTTGGCCAGGTGGTCTCGATCTCTTGACCTCAAGTGATCCACCCGCCTTGGCCTCCCAAAGTACTGGGATTACAGGCGTGAGCCACTGCACCTGGCCTATTGTTAATATTTTAACCAATCTGACAGTTCCTGTCTTTTGGAGTGTTCAGTCTATTTATACATAGTACATTTACATTTAACTGTGAAAGCATTTTGCCCATTCTGTATTCTTTTTCTTTCCATTCATGCCTTCCTTTAGATTTATCACCTTTTATTGTTCTATTTGCCCTCTCTGATCACTTGGTAATCGTAACATTTTAAATTATTTGTTCAATGATTAACCCTGAGATGAAAGTCTGCATCCGTGATTCAATAGTTATATATAGGTTTTTCCCTCTTCCCAAGCAATAAAAGGATCTTAGAATAGCTTATTCCATTTAACCTCACATACATTATTGAAATTATATATTTTAATTCTATATATGTCGAATCACGTAAAATATTATTATTACGCTTTATGCAGTCAATGTTCATTTAAACTTACCCACATTTTTGCCTTTCCTTTCTCTTTGTTTTTTTCAATGCTGAGCTTGTATCTGAGATTATTTTCTTCTGCCTAAAAAACACTCTTTAATATTTCCTTTTACTCAGATATACTTGTGCCATATTCTCTTTTGTTTTTCTTTTTTTTTTTCCTTTGAGATGGAGTTTTGCTCTTGTTGCCCAGGCTGGAGTGCAGTGCACGATCTTGGCTCACTACAACCTCCATCTCCCAGGTTCAAGCGATTCTCCTTCCTCAGCCTCCCGAGTAGCTGGGATTGCAAGTATATGCCACCATGCCAGGCTAATTTTGTATTTTTAGTAGAGAAGGGGTTTCTCCATGTTGGTCAGGCCAGTCTCGAACTCCTAGCCTCATGAGATCTGCCCACCTCGGCCTCCCAAAGTGCTGGGATTACAGGCGTGAGCCACCATGCCTAGCCTCTTCTTTTTTTTTTTCTAAAAATATTTTCATTTGACCTTCATTTTGGGAGGATATTTTTGGTAAGCTTGGAATTTTAGATTTGCGGTTACATTCTTTCAGCATTTCAAAGGTATCATTTATTGTTTTCTGTCATATGTAGAACCTGTTGAGAAGTGAACCATCTGTCTAAACTTTTATATAAAAGGCAAGGCAGCAACATTTTCGGCTTTGTTGGATCATAAGGAGACTCTGCTGCAACTACTCCACTCTGACATTTTAGCACCAAGGAATCCATAGGCAACACATTAACCAAGTAGTGTGGTTGTGCTCCACTAAAACTTCACTTATGGACTCTGAAATTTGAATTTCATACATTTTTAATGTGTCACAGTATCATTCTTTTCATATATTTTTCAACCACTTTAAATGTAAAATTTGGCCAGGCGTGGTGGCTCATGCTTGTAATCCCAGCACTTTGGGAGGCCAAGGCAGGCAGATCACTTGAGGCCAGGAGTTTGAGACCAGCCTGGGCAACATGGTGAAACCCCGTCTCTACTAAAAATACAAATTTTAGTTAGGCATGGTGGCACTGGCCTGTAATCCCAGCTACTCAGAAGGCAGAGGCACAAGAATCACTTGAACCCAGGAGGCGGAGGTTGCAGTGAACTGAGATTGCCCACTGCACTCCAGCCTGGGTGACAGAGTAAGACTCGGTCTCAAAATAAGTAAGAAAGTAAATAAATAAATAAATAAATAAATAAAATATAAAAAATCATTCTTACCTTGCTGGCTATACAGAAACAGACAGTGGGCCAAATTGGTTATAATTTGTAACCTCTGATCTAATTGTTGCTCGTTAAAGGACATCTGTCTTTGACCAGGTGTTGGGAGGCCGAGGTGGGTGGATCACCTGGGGTCAGGCGTTCAGGACAAGCCTGGGAAACATGGCAAAATCCCATCTCTACTAAAAATAGAAAAATTAGCCGGGCATTGTGGTACCCACCTGTAATCCTATCCACTGCACTCCAACCTGGGCGACAGAGCAAGACTCTGTTTTTTTAAATAAACAAAAACAAAAACAAAAAACAAAACCGGATATCTGTCTCTTTTTTTTTTTTTTTTTGAGATGGAGTCTTGCTCTGTCGCCCAGGCTGGAGTACAGTGGCGTGATCTCAGCTCACTGCAAACTCTGCCTCCCGGGTTCAAGTGATTCTCCTGCCTCAGCCTCCTGAGTAGCTGGGACTACAGGCACCCACCACCACGCTCAGCTAATTTTTGTATTTTTGGTAGAGACGGGGTCTCACTGTATTGGCCAGGCTGGTCTCGAACTCCTGACCTCAGGTGATCCGCCCACCTTGGCCTCCGAAAGTGCTGGGATTATAGGCGTAAGCCACCGTTCCTGGCCCTGTCTCTCTTCTTTTGGCTGCTTTTAAGAGTTTGGTTTTCAATGGTTTTACTACTGTATACTTTAATAGTTTTCTTCATCTTTTTCATGCTGAAGATTCATTTGGCTTCTATGATTTGTGACTTGATATTTTTTTATCTGTTGTGGAAAATTCTAATAGATTGTTTCTTTGACTTAGCTTCTGTCCATTCTCTCTCACTTCTCTTTTTAACCTTCTAGGACTCTGGTTACATCTGTGATAGACCTTTTCACCCTATCCTGGATGTCTCTTCTTCTTTTCTAATGTTTGCAAGTTTTTCATTATTTTTCTGCTTTCAACTTCATATTCTTTTGGCCTTTTACATTTATTATTAGTTTCTGAATTCCAAATTGGTGCTACAGATGTTTTCTATAGCTTTTCTTCTTATTTTATTTATTTATTTATTTATTTGAGATGGAGTGTCTCTCTGTCGCCCAGGCTGGAGTGCAGTGGTACAATCCCAGCTCCCTACAACCTCCGCCTCCTGACCTCCTGACCGGGTTCAAGCAATTTTCCTTCCTCAGCCTCCCGAGTAGCTGGGATTACAAGCGTGTGCCACCACACCCAGCTAATTTTTGTGTTGAGGTGGGGTTTCACCATGTTGGCCAGGCTGGTCTCGAACCCCTGACCCCAGGTGATCCGCCCACCTCGGCCTCCCAAAGTGCTGGGATTACAGGCATGAGCCACCATGCCCGGCCTTCTTTTATTTATTTGAGACAGGGTTTCACTTTGTCACCCAGGCTGTAGTGCAGTGTAGATCATAGCTCACTGTAGCTTCAACCTCCTGGGCTTCAGGGATCCTCCAGGTTTAGCCTTCCAAATATTTAGGACTACAAGTGTGTGCCACCATGCCCAGCTCATTTTTAATTTTTTGTAGAGATGGGGTCTCACTGTGTTGCCAAAGCTGGTCTTAAACTCCTGGGCTCAAGCAGTCTTCCTGCCTCAGCCTCCCAAAGTGCTGGGATTACAGGCATGAGCCACCACACTCAGCCTTATAGCTTTTTTTCTGACAGCAAAAGTTTTGTTTTCTTTTATCAGATATTGGCAATATAATATCCTACGACAGCAAAAAATATGCTCAAACTAATTAAAACTATTTAAAAGTAAGAGTGATAAATAGCAACAACATGACAAAATATTAATTTAAATGTTATAAAAGTAAAATAACGTAGACAAATCATACTGTTTAAAAATGAGTTTTAAAATCATCAAATTGGCTGGGCACAGTGGCTCACATCTGTAACCCCAGCACTTTGGAAGGCCGAGGAGGGTGGATCACTTGAGGCCAGGAGTTGGAGACCATCCTGGACAACATAGCAAAATACTTTCTCTACTAAAAATAAGAAAAATTAGCTGGGTGTGGTGGTGCATGCCTGTAATTCCAACTACTTCAGAAGCTGAAGCACAGGAATCGCTTGAACCCAGGAGGTGGAGATTGCAGTGAACTGAGATTGTGCCACTGTATTCCAGCCTGGGCAACACAGTGAGACACTGCCTCAAAACAAAAAAAAAGTCATAAAACCATTCTACCATCAACAAGAGTTTTTATTGAACTTATATTTAAACATTGAGGCATAATTACCTGAAAATGAATTAGGCCGGGCGCGGTGGCTCAAGCCTGTAATCCCAGCACTTTGGGAGGCCGAGACGGGCGGATCACAAGGTCAGGAGATCAAGACCATCCTGGCTATCACGGTGAAACCCCGTCTCTACTAAAAATACAAAAAATTAGCCGGGCGCGGTGGTGGGCGCCTGTAGTCCCAGCTACTCGGGAGGCTGAGGCAGGAGAATGGCGTGAATCCGGGAGGCGGAGCTTGCAGTGAGCTGAGATCCGGCCACTGCACTCCAGCCTGGGCGGCAGAGCGAGACTCCTTCTCAAAAAAAAAAAAAAAAAAAAAGAAGTTTTAAAAAGCATTAAAGTGTCTTAAAAATAAAATATTAAATTGCATACACAAACACATTGTTAAGACCAGTATCCCACAGTGTAATTTGTAATGAATTTTTGACAAACTGGCAGAAAAGTTCTTAGGGCCATAAAAAAGTTGTTAAATCTACCCTTAATTAAATAATAATTATCACTATATGAAATAGTAAGTATAAATATTAACTTTTGATTAGTTTGTTGTTTAGCTCTTTTTGAAAATCAAAGTGTTTTTTTCCATAAAAGTTTTATTTAAAGGTTATACAAAGACTTGAATAAACTATTCTGCCAGTGAAATTTGAGAAAGCCCTCACAACAAAGCTAGTCAATCAAGAATGAGAACAAATAGAGGCCAGGCATGGTGGCTCATGCCTGTAATCCCAGCACTTTGGGAGGCAGAGGTGGGTGGATCACCTAAGGTCAGGAGTTCAAGACCAGCCTGGCCAACATGGCAAACCCCATCTTTACTAAAAATACAAAAATTAGCTGGCCGTGGTGGCACATGCTTGTTGTCCCACCTACTCAGGAGGCTGAGACAGGAGAATTGCTTGAACCCAGGAGGCAGAGGTTGCAGTGAGCCGAGATCGCACCATTACACTCTAGCCTGGGTGTCACAGCAAGACTCTGTCTCAAAAAAAAAAAAAAAAAGAACAAATAGAAAGTATGGTTGGGTACTAATGTCTGGTTTGTGGAGTAAATAGCAAGAGAGTATGACAGTGTTTGAGCTTGTCAAAAGTTGAAGAATACCATCTAAAATAGTTGGCTCTAAACCACAAATGGACTTTTTTATTGGGGGAACCTGCCCCCGATAATTTGACGTGGGTTCTTTTCTATTTCTTTAAGTGTCGGCCAGTCTGAGAAATAAAGGGAAAGAGTACAAAAGAGAGAAATTGTAAAGCTGGGTGTCTGGGGGAGACATCACATGTCAGCAGGTTCCGTGATGCCCCCTAAGCTGCAAAATGAGCAAGTTTTTATTAGTGATTTTCAAAAGGGGAGGGAGTGTACGAATAGGGTGTGGGTCACAGAGATCACATGCTTAAGGGCAACAAAAGATCACAAGGCAGGAAGTCAGGGTGAGATCACAAGGTCAGGGCAAAACTAGAATCACTAATGAACTTCTGTGTCCCGCTGTGTACACATTGTCATTGATAAACATTTTGACAGGGTTCAAGAGTAGAGAACCGGTCTGACTAGAATTTGCCAGGCTGGAATTTCTTCATCCTAGCAAGCCGGGGGTGCTGCAGGAGACTAGGGCATGTTTCATCCCTATCTACATCTGCATAAAGGCAGACACTCCCAGGGAGGCCATTTCAGAGGCCTTCCCTGGGAATGTATTCTTTTCCCAGGGCTGTTAATTATTAATATTCCTTACTGGGGAAAGAATTCAGCGATACTTCTCTTACCTGTTTTCAGTAATAAGAGAAATATGGCTCTGTCCTGCCCAGCCTACAGGCAGCCAGACTTTAAGGTTATCTCCCCTGTTCCTTGAAATTCGCTGTTATCCTGTTCTTAAGGTGTCCAGATTTGATATTGTTCAAACACACATGCTCTGTAAACAATTTGTGCAGTTAACACAATCATCACAAGGTCCTGAGGCAACATTCATCCTCAGCTTACGAAGATGGTGGGATTAAGAGATTAAAGACAGGTATAGGAAATCACAAAAGTATTGGTTGGAGAAGTGATAAATGTCCATGACGTCTTCACATTCTGCCAGGGCTTCAGTCAGTCCCTCCATTAGAGGTCCCTGACTTCCTGCAACACTTTTTTTTTTTTTTTTTTGAGACAGTCTTGCTCTGTCACCCAGGGTAGAGTGTAGTGACACAATCTTGGCTCACTGCAACCTCCACCTCCTGGAATCAAGCAGTCCTCCCACCTCAGCGTCACAAGTAACTGGGACTACAGGTGCACACCATCATGCCTGGCTAATTTTTGTATTTTTTTTGTAGAGACAGTGTTTTGCTATATTGCCTAGACTGGTCTCGAACTCCTGAGCTCAAGCAATTCTCTCACCTTGGCCTCCCAAAGTGCTGAGATTATAGGCATGAGCCACTGTGCCCAGCTGAATGGACTTTTTTAACAGGAAAGTTTCAGTGAATTTTCTACTTTAGTTTTTGCCAAACCAGCCTCCCTTAACCCTACCTTCTTCTCGCTAGAAAACAAGTCAGTGTGAAAGCAATTAAAACCATATATTCATTATCCATGTATTTATTATTTTTATTGTTCTGTTTAGTGAGATTGCTCCAGCTTAGGAAAGGAATTACTTGATTTATCTCTTTTTTATTCCAGACATGGAGCCCAAACCTGCAACCAAGAATGCTACACGAACAAAGGATATATCTGAAGATTTATCACAGGATGCCGTACTAGAGAAACTTACGGAGAATGGTCTGTGGGATTCCAGAGTGGAAGGGTTATGGAAATGGAATGATAGGATATTGAGATTACAAAATAATCAGGAGAATCATTTGAGTCAAAGAATAATTCCACTCAAGAAGACTCCCACTAGTCAAAGAGGCTTTAGATTTGAATCTATTTTTATTCCAGAACCAGGCATTGCCACCGAAGAGCTTCACAGCAGATGCCAAACACAAGAGGAAAATTTCACAGAGAATTTAAATTTGGTTATAGATACCCGTTTGGGGAAGATAATTTGTAAGGAGATGAAAGGCAGCAAAGCCATAAGGCAGACTTCAGAACTTACTTTGGGGAAAAAATCCAATAATAAGGAAAAACCCTACAAATGTGGTACATGCGAAAAGGCCTTTCGTTATAGGTCATTGCTCATTCAACATCAAAGAACTCATACTAAAGAAAAACCTTATGAATGTAATGAATGTGGGAAAACATTCAGCCAGCCTTCATATCTCAGTCAGCACAAAAAAATCCACACTGGAGAAAAATCCTGTAAATGTAATGAATGTGGAAAGGCCTTCATTGCTTCCTTATCACTTATGGTACATCAGAGAATTCACACTAAAGAGAAACCTTATCAGTGTAATGTGTGTGGGAAATCTTTTAGCCAGTGTGCCTGTCTTAATCAGCACCAGAGAATTCAAACTGGAGAGAAACCCTATAAATGTAATGAATGCGGGAAAGCTTTTAGTGATAAATCAAAACTTGCAAGACATCAGGAAACTCACAATGGTGAGAAACCCTACAAATGTGATGACTGTGGGAAAGCCTTTAGGAACAAGTCATATCTTAGTGTACATCAGAAGACCCACACTGAAGAGAAACCGTATCAGTGCAATGAGTGTGGGAAGTCTTTTAAGAACACCACAATTTTTAATGTGCATCAGAGGATTCATACTGGAGAGAAACCTTTTAGATGTAATGAATGTGGAAAAGCCTATAGAAGTAATTCAAGCCTTATCGTACATATAAGAACTCACACTGGGGAAAAACCCTATGAATGTAATAAGTTACGCATTGCTTGCCTCGCTTTCTTCTTTTTCAATATTGTTTTGAAAACAAATTCATTTCTAAATGAATTTTGGGATCAGCTTTTCCATTTCAGAAAAAAAAAGCCAGATGGAATTTGGTGTAAGTCTGTGTTGAACTGTTGATCAATTTGGAGATAATACTGTATTAGCAAGATTAAGTCTTCCATACTTCAACATGAAGTTGTCCTCCCATTTATTTATGTATTCTTTTAATTTTTTTCAGTTTTGTAGTTTTATATTTTCTATGTGCATGTTTTACGCGTCTTTTTGTTAACTTCATTCCTGTGTTTTCTTTATTTTTGCTGTTATAAATGATTTTTTTTTCTTAATTTCTTTCGAAATAGTTATTGGTAGTGTGTACAACAATTGGATTTACAATACTTCACATATAGATCTTGTATCCTGAACCTTGCTGAACTAGCTTATTAGTTCTAATAGAACTAAACTATGTGTGTGTATGCCTGGGTTTCTTAGGGTTTTTTACATGCAAGATAACATTAACTGTATAGAGAGATTATATCATTTGCAAATAGAAATTTGCTTTGTCCTTTCCTATCTGGATACTTTATTTTTCATTTTCTAATTTTCCTTGCAAAAATGTAGAATATAATGTTGAATAGAAGTGAGAAGGGCCGGGCGCGTGGCCTGCCTGTAATCCCAGCACTTTGGGAGGCCGAGACGCGCGGATCACGGGAGGTCAGGAGACGACCATCCTGGCTAACAGGGTGAAACCCCGTCTCTACTAAAAACAGAAAAAAATTAGCCGGGCGCAGTGGCGGGCGCCTGTAGTCCCAGCTACTCGGGAGGCTGAGGCAGGAGAATGGCGTGATCCCGGGAGGCGGAGCTTGCAGTGAGCCGAGATTGCGCCACGGCACTCCAGCCTGGGCAGTGACAGAGCGATCTCCATCTCAAAAAAAAAAAAAAAAAAAAAAAAAAAAGAAGTGAGAAGGAATGGCTGGACATGGTGGCTCATCTCTGTAATCCCAGCACTTTGGGAGCCTGAGGTGGGTGGCTCACTTGAGGACAGGAGTTTGAGACCAGCCTGGCCATCATTGTGAAACCCTGACTCTACTAAAAACACAAAAATTAGCCAGCCATGGTGGCACACACCTGTAATCCCAGCTACTTGGGAGGCTGAGAGCAGGAGGACCCCTTGAACTGGCGGGGTGAGGTTGCAGGAACCGAAACGCATTCTTACTCCAACCTGGGTATAAGCAAGATCTTGTATCAAAAAAAAAAAAAAAAAAGAGAGAAAAAGAAAAGTGAGAAGGGACATTGTTGTCCTCGTGATCATGAGGAATGATTCAGCTGTTTACTATTAAGTATGATGTTGACAGGTTTTCAAGCAGAGTCTTTACCGGTTGGATGATGTTTGCTTCTATTTTTAGTTTGTTGAATTATGTCAAATGCGTTTTTGAATCTATTAAGATGATTGTGCAGTTGTTCTTTATTCTATTGATTGATTTTTTTGTATTGCTATAAAATACAAACCTTGTATTCCTAAGATAATTTCCATTTGGCTGTAGTATATGCTGCATTTTATTTGTTGCTGAACCCACTTCTAAGTAGTATTGCCGAGAATTTTCGTGTCTATATTCATGAGGATACTGGTCTGTAGTGTTCTTCTGATGTCTTTGTCTAGCTTGTGTAATATTGGTCTCATAAAGTGGGTTTGGAATTGTTCCCTTCCATTTTTTGGAAGAATTAGTGGCTGATTGGTATTAATTCTTCTTTGAAATGTTTGGTCTGTAGTGTTCTTCTGATGTCTTTGTTCAGTTTAGGTAATATTGGTCTCATAAAGTGGGTTTGGAATTGTTCTTTCCATTTTTGGAAGAATTAGTGAAGGATTGTTAATTCTTCTTGAAATGTTTGGTATAATTCACATGAAGCCATTTGAACCCAGGCTTTTCTTTGTGGGAAGTTTACTTGTTATGGATCTATCCAGATTTCCTGTTACACTGAGTCAGTTTTGGTAGTTAATGCCTTTCTAAGAATTTATCCAGTTCATCTAAGTTCACATACCATTGTTCATAGTGTTCCTTATAATCCTCTTTATTTCTTTAAGGTCAGTAGGGAATGTCTTCTTTTCATTCTGATTTTAGTAATCTGTGTCTTCTCTTTTTTCTTAGTCCTCTAGCTAATGGTTTGCCATTTTTTAATCTTTCCAAATAACCAACTTTTGCCTTCCTCTGCTGTTTTTCTGTTCTCTATTTTATCTCCATTCTAATATTTATTTCCTTCTTTCTTCTTTCTAAAAAATTTAGTTCACTCTTCCTTTCTTCTAGAGCCTTAAGTTATAACTTAAGGTTATTGATTTCTTTTCTTTTAAATTTGTAGACATTTATAGCTATAAATTTCTGAGACTGCTTTCACTTTGTCCGGCTACTACTGTTGAATTATCTCTTTGCCCCTTCGATTTTATACATTTTTGCTTCCTATATTATGGGACTGTTTTGTTAGGTGGGTGTATGTTTAAATTTGTTATGTTTTACTGATACACTTATTTCAATTATTATACTTTTCAACTCCAAAATTTCCGTTTAGTGAAATATCATTCACACAATGTCTTTTAAATCTTTATACATGGTTTTATTTAGGCTATTAACATATTTGTAATAGTATCTAATGTTCTTGTTGAATAAATGCAACATCTTGACTTTGGAGTGTAGTTTCCATTGATGCTTTATTTTTTAATGTGTGTGAGCCATGCTTTCATGTTTCTTGTGTGTTTTAATAATTTTTGTTGAAAACCAGTTAGTTATTTTAAATAATATAATGTGGCAACTCTGGAAATCAGATTCTGCCCTCTCTAGGGTTTGTTGTTGCAGTTGTTGGTGGCACTGTTGCTATTTTTGTTTAGAAACTTTCCTGGACCAATCTGTAAAGTCTGTATTCTTTATCATGTATAGCCACTAAAATATCTGCTTGGTTAACATGGTGATTAGTTAATGATTAGACAGATTTCTTTATGTCTTAAACCAGTAAGTCTTCAGCAACTGCCAGAGGGATCTTTGTATGTGTTGGGCATACATTTTCCTCTTAGGCAGGCAGGTTAAGCAACTCCGCCTTTAGTCACTTTTGCTTGTACAGAGCCTCAAGGTAAACCATAGATGAGAGATGAGGGCCTTTTCAGATTTTTCCTGGGGCTGAGTTCTTGTGGAAAAAAGAAAACAAAACCCAGTACATTGGTTACAGTTTGAATTACACACATGTCAAGTGATTAACAACAAAGTTTATGAACTCATCATCTCCTACATTTGCTATGTTTTTTATTAGCAGTATTATCTAAAACATGCTTCAAAACCTAAAGGTTGAAAACGCCAAAGGATATGTATACATAAGACATGTATGACAAGCATACATATTCAAGTGGTAGAAAACACTCAGAGGAAATCTTTCTTCTGATCTAGAACAGACCTTAGCCGGATATGATCTAAGTTGATCTTCTTTTGCCTGAGTAGTCAGCTACTCAGGGCTCTTAGTAAATTAATGATAACTTGTGATCAGAATGACAACAAGGTTACAAGCTGAATTTCTACCACAGACTGCTTGGATTTAACCCTAGACTTTTCTGCTTCTTTGACTCTGGGCAAGACACCTAACAATACCCTGTGCCTCACTCTCCTTATTTGTAAATAGCACTTCCTTATTGTGATGATTCATTCAATACATTATAAGCCCCTAGAGCAGTCTCTGATACTTGATAAGCATTATACTCACAGAAGTGGGAAGAGTAGTTTGAATCCCTTAAACCTATTGCCCTCTTAACCAGTTGAACCTTGCATGAACAATCACATTTCATCTGTAACCCTTCTCTCACTAATTATTTTGATACAAATACAAAGCATTATTTAATCTATTTTATTACATATTCTTTGATTGACAATTTTTAAACTGTTATGTTATATAATATTACTATTATTATAGCTAAAAATGAACACTGAACCTTTGTTTCATCAAAATACTCGCTTGGCATTTGTCTCCCCAGTTGATTCATATGGTAATTGTGGTTAATGCCGAGACCAGTTCAGTTGGGGAGACCCTAACCCAGTGGCGCTAGAGGAATTAAAGACACACACAGAAATATAGAGATGTGAAGTGGGAAATCAAGGGTTTCACGGCCTTCAGAGCTGAGAGCCCCAGAGATTTACCCACATATTTATTAACAGCAAACCAGTCATTAGCATTGTTTCTATAGATATTAAATTAATTAAAAGTATCTCTTTATGGGATACAAAGGGGATGGGCCGAATTAAAGGAATAGGTTGGGCAAGTTAACTGCAGCAGGAACATGTCCTTAAGGCACAGATTGCTCATGCTATTGTTTGTGGCTTAAGAATGCCTTTAAGTGGTTTTCCACCCTGGGCGGGCCAGGTGTTCCTTGCCCTCATTCCAGTAAACCCACAACCTTCCAGCGTGGGCATTAGGGCCATTATGAACATGTTACAGTGCTGCAGAGATTTTGTTTATGGCTGGTTTTGTGGCCAGTTTATGGCCAGAATTTGGGATGTGCAAAATGTTTTATTGGATGCAACCTTTCTGATTGCAAGAGGATACAGGCAGGGTATAGGTTTTGTCTCAGTGAGCTACTTTCTGCAGGAGTCGGGATCCACATCTGCCGACTATACAAAGATAACACAGGTTAAAAACAATCATCATTGAAATTACAGAGCTCTGCTGTTTTTATCCATTTTATCAAGTTACTAGCTGCTAATTTGTCTGCAGCTCCTTTAAGCACTCCAGTTCCTGGCATTACAATGTGTGCCTGGGATGCTTTAAATATTTGTTCTTTTAATTTTGCTGTATCCAAAAACAAGTTTGTAGAGTGTCCTTCTAGATGCTTTTTTATTCTTTCCCAAATTTTGATCTTATTAAGAGCATTTAATAGTTTCCACAAATCCTTATGTTTAGCTCCTACAATGGGCCATATCATTTGAGGTTGAGGTGCCACTGTACCATCACATTCCAGATCATAGGA